TTAAAAAAAAAAAAAAGAAGAGAAAGAAACAACCAACACAATTCTGTGGTTGGAATTCCTTATATAGAGAAGAAATCTGTAGCCAAATCCTTAAAGAAGAAGGAATCCTACTCTAATAAGGAGTTGAAAGAGGGAATTCTACTACAATAAGGAGGTAGAAATTCTCTTTGAGTTCTATTCAAACAAGGAGATAGCAAATTTTGTCTATTCCTTCCTAAGTTAGGAATCTTATTGCATTAAGGAATAGTCAAGTCAATTCCTACTAGAAAGTGCTTGAACTGATCTATTCATTTTAATTTGTTTGTGTTTGGTTCTTTTATTGCTTTTCTTGTTCGTTCCTTTGTGTCTTTCTATTTTCTTTAACTCTTGTTGCAATTTGTTGGAGTTTGATTGCTGCAAAATAACTTGAATTGAGCTTGTTTAGTTCAGTAACGAATTGAAAGAGCATAGTTGAGTGAGGGAAAAAGGCAAGAGGTGTGAGTAACACTTGAGAGATAAGCCAATTCTACAGTGTGCAAAACATGAGTGTTGAGTGTCATTCTGTGAGAGAGTGGAGTGAAACATGTAAGGGAGTGTTGTGAGGTCCTTTTATTCTTCTGTTTCTAACATTCATTGTAGGTTTCAATCATGTCAAGCGGTGATGAAAAATCAACCACTAGAAGACACCATGTGGATGAATCTCTTATGCTCAAAGCAATGCAACAACAATTTCAGAGGCTGGACATCATGTTTGGTGAGATTAGAGACATAATGGAGAAGCAAGATGCAGCCATAGCCAATTTATATCAAATACAGAATGGAAGTTGGCATTTGCGTAGGAATGACACTAATGATGATCTTAATGACGAATATGAAGATGCATTCAACAATGATGCCCAGAACTCAAATTTCAGCATGGATAGAATTATGAGAGGTAAAGGGAATCAAAAAGGTAGGTTTAACCGAGGATAGCAAAATTTGACGAGGTGGGGAGATTGGCAAGATCGTGACTTAGGTAGCATCAAGATGAAGATTCCTCCATTTCAAGGTAAAAATGATCCAGATGTGTATTGAGATTCCTCTATTTCAAGGCAAAAATGATCCAGATGTGTATTTAGAGTGGGAAAAGAAGGTGGAATTGGTGTTTGATTGCCATAACTATTTTGAGGAGAAAAAGGTAAAACTAACAACAATGGAATTTACTAATTACACTATGGTGTGGTGAGATCAGCTTGTGCTTAGTCGACGTAGAAATCGAGAGCGTCCTGTTGACACTTGGGAATAGATGAAAGTTGTGATGAGAAAACAATTTGTTCCTAGTCACAACTACCGTGATCTCTATCAATGATTACAGGGCCTTACTCAAGGATTGAAAAGAGTTTAGGATTATCACAAAGAGATGGAAATCACAATGGTTAGAGCGAATGTGGAAGAGGATAGAGAAGCAACAATGGCCCGGTTTCTGCATGGATTAAATCGTGATATAGCTAATGTGGTGGAACCGCTGCATTATGTGGAATTAGAAGATATGGTGTGTATGGCAATGAAAGTAGAACAACAACTTAAGCGTAAAGGAGCCACTACCAGAACTAGGCAAAATTCAGGTTCCTCATCTTCTTGGAAATTGAATTGGAGCAAAAAGGAAGAAAATTCTACTTTTAAGCCCAAAATTGTAGCATC